AGGGAAAGGCCACGGGGTGACGGCGGAGCCCGGGGCCCAGAGCCCCCGAGGCCGGTCCTGGACGTGCGGGGCCCTCCGGGCACGGAGAGGGGCATTTTAGGAAACACGAGGAAGAGTCAAATGAAGAGGTTAGGAATAAACAGCAGCAGGGATGAAGAATGCCTTCAGAGGGCACGTCCAAGGGTGGTGGAGCCGGGTCCCCACGGGCCAAGGAATAAAAAATGAATGGACTGGATCACAGACCCCCAGAAGGCCCAGCGCTGAAACGGAGAAGGAGCGAAAGCAACGGGCCCAGAGGAGCGGGGCAAGCCCCGTGGGACAGAGCGAGCAGCCCAACACACAGGGACCCCAAACTGGACACACACCAACAGCGGCAGCTCCATGATGCAAAGGAAATGCATTTTAGCAAACACTGCCTTTATAATTCTTCAAAGTGTGTGTGTACATTTTGGGGGGACACCTTACAATAGCACTTGGAACCCCAACAGAAGAAGAGGGAGAAAGAACAGGGCTATCACGGTTAAGACTTTCCCAAAAATAATGGAAGTTACCAAAACACAGGCCAAAGACTGCAAAGCAGGATAAGAAAATTTAAAAGATTCAAACTGCTGAAAGCCAAAGACAAAACATCTCCAAGGCGGCCAGAAGGAAACTCCATAGGCAGATGTGGGGGAGCCGTCCTGGTGGAGGGAACAGCAAGAGCAGGGGCAGCTGAAGGTTAGTAGTGAGCCTGGTGTGTGAGGGGCCGTGATGGGAAAAGGTAATCCCCGTCTTACAGGGTCTCCACTGTCAAGGAAGGGAGTTCATTCTGTAGTCAGTAGGGGAGCCCCTTGGGTTGGATGCACCACTCAGAGTCTTGAATTTAGTAAAATCCTGCTGAGTTTTGTCATACTTTTTACACATCTGTTGAAATGATGTATGCTGTTTTTTATACATCTTTGGAAATGATGAGTACTGTGTGTTTTTTTCCTGTTACTATGACCAGTTCCATTCGTTGGCTTCCGAGTGTTAAACCAACCTTGCATTCCTTGAGTCTAGTGGAATTGAATCCACTCAGGCATGATGCATTAGGCTTCCTATATGTTATTAGTGAATTCAGTTTGCTAATATGTTGCTAAACATTTTTGTATCTGGGTTCATGAAGGATGTTGGTCTGTAGTTTTTGTGTAATTGCTTTGTCTGGTTAACGGTATCAAGGCAATCCTGGCAGTTTGGGCGTCCATGTAATACTGGCCTCATAAAATCACTGAGAAAGTGTTTCTTCCTTCGCATTCTGAAATAATTTCTATATGTTGGTACTGTTTCTCTTTTAAATGTTTACCAATTTGAGGTTAAGCCATTTTAGCATGATATTTGGGGGGGGGGCGGTTATTTCAATTTTTCGGAAAAATTTAAATTATGAAATTTCTGAATAGATATAGAGCTATTCAGGATTTCTGTTTCTATTTGAGTCACTTTTGATAATTGGTAGGTTTCTTTTTTCCAAGAAATCTGTCCATGTCAGCTAAATTGTCACATTTATTTGGTAAAAAGTTGTTCACAATATCCCCTTATTTTCCTTTTAATGTCTGTAGTCTTAGTGATGTCCCCTCTCTCATTCCTGATTGTGGTAATTTGCATCTTCTCATTTTCTTGCTCAGTCTAGTTAGAGGTTATCAACTTTATTGATGTTTTGAAATAACCAGTCTTGGTTGTACTGATTTCCCCCCATTGTTTATCACTTTCTATATGTTTGACTTCTGTCCTTTATTATTTTCTTCTTTGCTTTATGTTGGGTTCAATTTTTTTTTCTAGCTTCTTAAAGTAGAAACTTAGATGGTTGATTTTAAACCTTCTTTCCCATTTTAAACATTCAAACCAGTGAATTTCCCTGGAGGCACTGTCTCAGCTGCGTATCTTGATATGCTGTATTTCAGTTTTCGTTTAGTGAAAATATCTTCTAATTTCCCTCTTTAAACTATGATTTAATTAGAATTATATTGTTTAATTTCCAGGTATTTGGAGGTTTTTAGGGTATCTCTTTGTTATGATTTTAATTTAACTGTTTTGGGATTGGAGAACGTACTCTGCAATTTCAAGTATTTTTTATTGTCTGAGGCCTATTTTGTGGCACGGCATAGACTCTCTCTTGATAAGTGTCTCACGTGCACTTGAAAACAATGTGTGACCTTGCGGAGGTCTCGGACTTTGACCTCGAGGCTCCTGGTCTGAGGGGCGCCCTTCGTCTTCTCCGTTAGAGCATGCAGCCAGGGCTTCGAGAGGTGGGTAGGGTTTGGTTCTGAAGGTGGCGGGCCCTGCATCTTGATCTTGCAGATGGCGTGCGAGGCAGAGCACCGTCCCCTGGGTGTGTTTGAGTGCCAGCTCTGTGCCTTGACAGCTCCATACAGCTATGTGGGGCAGAAGCCCCCCGACACCCAGTCTGTCATGTGAGTATCCGTGCCCAGGGGCCTAGGAGTGGGCGAGCTAGTGCGCACCGGTGGGAGTGAGTCCTGAGGACCAGCTTCCTGTGATCTGCCCGGGAAGGCCTGGAGTAGAGCCAGTGGGTCCCAGCGCTTGATTCTTGACCTTCAAATTGTCCTTCATCAAATGCCACATCATGGGGAAGTGGACCAGTAGTTACTCACATAGGGCAAGTGGCAGGGCAAGGCTCCTTCCTGCTGGCGGGGTTCCTCTGCTGACGGGACAGGGGTGTCTCTCGGAACCCCGTGGGTCTCCCTCCCGGTGCGGTGTGAGGCCAGCACCCTACACAGGTGTGATGCACCTGTTTTCCCCGCGGGGAAGCAGGCAGTTTGGGAATGGGCATCACCATGCTCGGGTGAGGGGAGGGCTTAGAGGGCGTGGATGGAGGCCTCGGGCCCCGGCCCCATCCTGTGAGTCAAGTCAGGGCCCCTCTGTGGGCTGAGGAGGAGTGGTGGCCCCCGCTGCGGTGGTTTCAGAGCCCAGAGCAGGGGCCAGCCCCACCCCCACTGAGATCCCAGCAGCAGCGGTTCCAGCCGCATCACTTCCTGTCCCACAGCCTCCTGGAGGAGAGCTATGTCATGAAGGACCCCTTCACCCCGGACAAGGACAGGTTCCTCATCCTGGGCTCCAGGTGCAGTGTCTGCGGCCGGCTGGTGTGTGTGGGCCCGGTGGGTAAGCCACACGACTGCCTCGCTTCCACCCTCACACCCCCCGTCCCCCGCTCCCGGGCTGGGACCCCCACACATGTGACTGTGGGAGAGGTAGCAGGTGAGCCTTTCCCAGGGGCGGTGTGAGCACCAGCTTTCCTCTCCACGGGGTCCCCGGACCCTCAGTCACCAGGTGGCCTGGGGGGTTCTTAGAGGCCAGCTGGTCTACCTCATTTTGGGTGGTCCCTCCGCCATCTTAGGGCGGAAGACGCGCAGAGGGCACCCTGGGTCAGCCAGGGTCTCTGTGGGGTCCGAGGGGTCCAAGTAGAGTCTGGGAGGTTCTGCACCACCCCAGTGGCCCCTCACAGGCCCCTCACCACGGGTGCTGACCTTCTCTCTGGCTGTCCTTGGGGACCCGCAGAGCAAGGTTCCGTGCTCTCCTGAGCATTTGTGTGCCAGGCCCTGTGCTTGGAGCTGCCTTAACCCTGGGGCTTCCTTCAGCCCCCTCCCCCCAAACCCAGTCAGGCGAAGCAGGACTGCACCCATTTGACAGGTGAGGAAGCCGAGGTCCCAGAGGCTGCAGGCCCAGTGCCCAGCACGGCTGAGCCTAGTGTTTGAGAACCCACGACAGCGTGGTGGGGTGGTGCAGCTGAGTGTGGCCCTGTAATCCGAGTGATCCTGCCCCGAGGAGGCCCTGAGCGTCCTGCCTGGGGGCTGGTCACCTCCCAGTCCCTCAGAGGCACAAAGGCCCCTGCGATGAGGCCTCGCCATGTGTTGAAAGCCCCCGACACCCGTGCCTGCAGGGCTGCCCCTGGAGCGCACCCTCGCCCCCATTTCTTTTTCTCTCAGGCGGCTGGCCAGGCCCCTGGGCCACAGTCTCCCTCTTGCTCTTCTGGCTCCGCTGCACCCTCCCCACCTCCTCTCAGCTGCCCGTGCGTCCTGGGGCCCGCCCAGCCCCTGCCCGCCTGCCCCTGTGCCCGTCCTCAGCCTGCCCTCCTCCTCCAGGAATGCAGTCTGTTCTACTCCAAGAGGTTCTGCCTCCCTTGTGTCCAGAAGAATCTCCAGGCCTTCCCCCAGGAGATCCGGCAGGACCTGGAGAAAAGGAAAGGCCCCACGAAGAGGCCGGCGTCAGAGGCCCGGGTCGGGTGCTGAGCTGGGAGCCACCGTGTGGCCTTGTTCTGGAGCCACGCAGAGGAGGCACCTGGAACCCCGCCCCGACTCCAGAGCTCGCTCAGTGCTGAGCGCAGGCCAGAGCCAAGGGGCGCCCAGGCTCTCAAGGGGCTGGGGCCCACCCTCTGCAGGTCCTCCCGCCGTGTCCTGCTCCACGTGGCTGGGCTGGAGGGCCCTGCGTCCTTCCCACGAGGGGTCAGATCCAGGGGTTGTCTCCACGGGCCACGCTGCTCTGCTGGGCCCTGAACACAGCCGCGCGGGGCAAAGGCCGCTGCCGTGGAGCTGTCCCCGTGTGCGGACCTCTGGCCCCCGCAGTGTATTGGGGGAGCGTGTGCTCCCTCTGGCTCTGGTTCCAGCCCCAGGCCCCCGGCTCCCTTCCCTCACGCCCTCGCCTCGGAGCCTTCTGTTGCTTGCCTGCCCTCTCCCCAGCGAACTCAGCCTCGGGCCTGCGGAGGCCAACCCCACAGCCTCAGCATTGCGCATGGGAGCTCGCCTCCTGTCTGCTGGTTCCTGGCGGCAGGCGCTGCCCTGTGTCATCTTACAGTTGCTGCGCGGCCACCGTCCCCGCCCCGAGTGAGAAATGTGAATAAAGAGGCGTTTCCATCGATCCGTGTGCCGGGTTTATTCTCAGATGCCCACGCCTTAAAAAGCTTTCCCTGCTTCATGTCATTTTACACAAATGGACGCCCTGTTCGGGGCCACGCTGTCCGGGGCGCATCCTGTGCGAGTGGCACGCGGTGGGGGGGACGTGCCGGCGGAGGGCAGACCCACTGCCAGGGGTTTGGTTTCAAACCCAGCACTGTGTCCCACAGCATCACTCAAACGCAACACATAATTTTTAAAAATAGTTTATTTTTTAAACCATTAAGGCAAATGGTACCCTGAAATTAACTCTTTACATTCATCAGTCTTACAGTAGGACATTCCAATTATGTAAGTTACCACAGAGTCAGGATATAAATCAATATACATGACCAGTTCAGTTTCCTAATGGGAAAGTGAATAAGACCCAAGATTTTGAAAAATTAGTTATTTTATAGCCGTTTCCTAATTGCCTGGCACCACGATCAGGGGACGCGATGAGCAGGATGCCCTGTGCCCTTTGCTGCTCCCTGCACCCTGCTGCCCGAGGCCCTGGACCCACCCAGACCAGAGAGCGAGCGCCTGGGGTGGACGTGGTGCCCGCTGGGAGGGTCTGTGTGGGAGCGTCTCCGTGCAGCACAGAAACCAGGGTCCAGCAGCCCCCAAAGGCTTAGAGTACCAGGCACCCAGGAACGGTAGCGACAGTCCGCGCCAGGGGACGGAGCTCAGGCCTGTGGAGATCTGCGTGTCCTGAACTTGGACCCGGGCCCCGGGAGGGACAGGTGCACCCCCAGGGGGAACTTTGCCAAGATCTGGGAACAACGGGGGGGTGGGGGGGGGATGGACTCCTGGCCCGCGGTTCCTGCCTTCTGCTTCGGGTTGGGCCACCTGAGGCTGCCAGGCAACCAGCCGGTGCCCATGTTCCACCAGGACACGGGAGAGGGCACAGTTCTTTGGTAAAAACCCACAGCCCGAGTTCCCTGCAGAGGCCCACCCTGGCGAGACCCTGCTGTGCAGTGGGTGGCGTCTCGCCCGGGCCTAGGGCGGCAGCGCTGTGCTTGCAGGTGCCGAGCGGCAGGGGGACAGACTCACGCGACATAAACTCTGTGGCTCCGGGCGTGTGTGCCTGCGGGTCTGCCTCGGTCCTGACGCTTCAGCTCCGCCCCCCAGCCAGGCTAGGGAGAGGATACGTCCGTTAACACTGATTCCAAAAAACCCAGACGTTTCTTATTAGACACATGATTGTAAGTTAGTAAAATATTTATATTAGGATTTTTTAAAAAATTCAAATCACAGTATTGAAGATACAGCTATTCACATGGCTCTTTTCACCGAACAGTGTAGAAAAAGCAGTGATGCGTGACCACAAATACTGCTGTCGGGCCGAGCGCGTGCGCGGCCATCATGTCTCCTGAGGTACATTCTCCTTTAGGCCTGAAAAGAGGCCCAGACCGACTGCTTTTGAAAAGAGAAGACATTTCCGCAAAGTGAGTGGTTTCACCTGGAGAGGATGGGCCGGTCACTTGTCTTCAGGGGAGTCGAGGCCCCTCCCCCGGCTCCTCCTGTCCCGGGAGGCGGGATACGGGACACTGTAGTGCCTTGTGATCAGGGGGGTCGGGCAGTGGGTGGGAGAGGAGGCCGTCTGTTCCCTGCTCTGGAGGAAAACATGGAGCCTTCTCACATTTGACTCAAATAGCGAACCTATTTTAAGTGAGAGAGAGAGAGAGACCAGACCCAGGTCTGAATGTGCTGTCCCTGATGTAAGAAACGGATGTTGCTTCGGTGTTTTTGCAGGCGATGCATTTCACAACCGGGGCCACCGAAGGCCCTGATGTCACCAGTTGCTTCAGTCACCATGTGCCCTTGCCCAGGGGTGCAGTTGCCAAGATTCCCACGGGACGCGGCTGCATTCCAGCTGGGCCGAGTTACTTGGCATGCCACCCCCTTGCCTGGGGTGTTGGGGGGAGGAAGCGGTGACATTTCTTGTGTCTCCTGCTGAAATTTTGAGAAGCACATGGTCAGGGGCGACCCCCGCCAGATGGGAGAAGGCGCCCGCGTGGGGGGAGCAGCACGGAGGGGCCTGGGAGGCCTCCCTCCTGCTCTCAGCGGGCCACTTTTTTTTGTTTTTAATTTTTAATGTGCCTGCGGCCCACTCTACCGAAGTAAAGTTTAAGAAATGGCTGCATTCCACAAAAATAGCGTAACGGAAAGCATTACAGAATTATTAAAACTAGACCAAGAAGACATCTTTTAACTTCCAATATCGCATTTTAGTTGTTAGATTATAGCTCCCAGGGCAGTGATGGCGAACCTTTTGAGCTCGGCGTGCCAGCATTTTGAAAAACCCTAACTTAACTCTGGTGCCGTGTCACATATAGAAATTTTTTGCTCTTTGCAACCATAGTAAAACAAAGATTTATATTTTTGATATTTATTTTATATATTTAAATGCCATTTAACAAAGAAAAATCGACCCAAAAAATGAGTCTGCGTGTCACCTCTGACACGCGTGTCATAGGTTCGCCATTACTGTCCCAGGGAAATACAACCCCCGATTCAGACCAAATGCATTGCCTTTGTCTCCTGCTCCTGCTCCATAGGTGGGGGGTCAGTGACCATTTTCTTGAAGTCGATTAAAATGGCACCTAAAAATGTATATCAATCTCAGCAGAAACGTGGACCTCGACCTTGGGAGCCTGATCTTCGCTCTCTCCGGGCAGGTCCCTCCGAGGAGGACCCGCCCGGGAGACGCCCCTGGACTTGGAGGGAAGCGCTGACTCCCCGCCTCGGAGCCCTTGGTCAGGAGGCGAGGCCGGCCCTGTCACACCTGCACCCGCTCCCAGCACACCGGCGCCTGTCCTTGAGCCTCCTGCTGCAGGCGCCATCCGCAGCCACGTGGACACGCAGGCCCGAGCGGAACCGCTAACCGGGGAGCCCCGGAGGCAGCCCACCCAGGGGAGCTGCCAGCACTTGTCTTCCTGGTGGCGTCTGCGTCGTGAAAGGCCACGCGGGATGAGAGGTACTTGGAAAGGGCTGCGTCCCTGGTCCCCAGAAGCCCCCGACCGCAGGCCAGGCCACTGGTCGAGTCAGGCAGACCCTGGGGAGGCGTCTCTTTCAGAGCCCGAGCAGGAGCCCCGGCCCGGAAAAAAAAGGCCTGGCCTTCCTGCTGCTCCAGCCCCGTCTCGCCCCCGCTCGGCCTCACTACGCCGACAGCAGCCTCTGCACACGCGTCTTTGATGCTCCCTTTAAACAACAGAAGCTCCTTTAAAAGTCACTTATCCTTCCGTTTCTGCGTGTGGTGAGGGCGGGGGACGGGCCTGCAGCCTTGCGCCCTCATCAGCAGGTCGGGCCGCAGGGGTTCGAGCACCTTCGCTGAGCCAGCGCCTGCGGACTCTCTGTTGAGGTAGCTGAGTTGCGGTGGCTCTGAGACACCAGTGGCCGGGCCGACAGTTCCCTCCCGTCTCACAGCAAACAAGGGGCCTGTGCCTCGGGCTCTGCCCGGTCCCGGACCCTCCACAGTCCTGGGCCGCCCTTGCCTTCGTAAGCAGCGCAGCAGCTCCGCCTGAACTGTCGTGGGCCCTGAAGTGCAAAGCAGGGGCCCCGTCCAATGGGGTGCGCGCGGGGCTCCCAGGGCGACCGCACACGCATCTCCCTGGCATGACTTACGCAGCTGCACCCCCGCCCAGGAAGGTCTCAGGGACCCGGAGAGCAGGGCGGGAGGCAGGACCCGCCCGCAGTCACCGTCGTGGATCCCGCTGTCACCAGCACTGGGAGCGGCACCCGCAGGGCCTCGCCCACAAGGTGCAGAGATGCCAGGGGGTGCGGGATGGGCGGAGGGACCAGGCAGCTGAGCTGGAGCTGCTGCAGTTGGGAGGAGGGGAGGCTGGTCTTGGAGCCCGGCGGCCCTTTGT